CCCACCTGGGTGGGGGTCACGATCGATGTGAAATCAGCGTTTCTGTATGCTCCGATTCGTTCAGAGCACCAAGGGACCGAGGAGCGTATCATCGTGAAACCCCCGCACTTTCTAGTAGAGTTAGGTATCCTGTCCTCAGAGCATCGTTGGTGGATACGTAAGGCCCTGTATGGTTTACCTACGTCACCCAGGGATTGGGGAAGGTACCGGGACGCGGAATTCCGGAATTTGAAGATCTGCTACCAGGGTTCGGAATATCGCTTGATTCAGCTAAAGTCTGACGACGCATTGTGGGTCCTGCAGAAGGTCACGGATGAGGGCCTTGGGGAGACTGCAGGGATCCTGGTGGTCTACGTGGATGATTTGGCTCTGTTTGCAGAATCAGGCTTAGCTCAGCAATGTATCCAGGCGATTCGTGGTTTATGGAAGACTTCGGATCCGGAGTGGATTGGCGACACTCCGGTGACCTTCTGTGGCCTTGAGATTGTTCGGGTGGAGTGTGGCTACAGGATATCTCAGGGTGCTTATATTAAGGAGCTGCTCTCGCGTTACAATGTGACCGAGGACTCGGCTGTACCGGTGACCAAGTGGATCGATCCGGAGACGCCGGAATCGGTTTCGGCCGACGAAGTCAGAGATGCGCAAGCCATTACGGGTGCCTTATTATGGGTGGCAACCCGAACTAGGCCGGACATTTCGTATACCGTGTCTCGTTGCGGGCAACAGGCAACAAAGGTTCCTCAATTGTCCATTAGTTTGGGAATGCAGACATTGGGCTATTTGCGGTCCACCCAGGATTTCTGTATCGAGATCCCTTTTGAGATTAAGGATTTGTTCTCTGAGCACGGGTCACTTTCCATGCCGCGTACTGAAAGGGTCCTGGAGTTGTATACCGACGCATCGCACAGCCCTGGAGGGGCTCGTTCTATGCAATCGATTTTCCTCGTATGGAGATCTGTACCATTGGCTTGGGAAGTGACCAGACAGCCATTCACGACGCTCTCCTCTGCGGAGGCGGAGCTAGTCTCCATGGTGCATGCGATCCAATTGGGCGAAAGCATCCAACCTTTGTTGGACGAACTCCTAGGGGAGGACACCCAGGCGTGTCTCCTAGGAGACAACGAAGCAGCTTGCCGCGCCTTTGATCCGGTAAGCGCCTCCTGGCGTAGTCGCCACTTAAGAATGCGGGCGGTCTCGGGCCGCGAAAGAATCAGTGCTGGTCTTCTCCGCGTCTGTCACCTGGCAGGCGACCTGCAGGTGGCGGACCTTGGTACGAAACCGCTAAGCCGAACGAGAATCCTCCGATTGTTAGGGCTCTTGAATATAGGTTCACCGTTGAGTTCTGAAACCCAGCGAGCCTCAGCCAGGGCGTTGAGTCGAGGGGTCTACGAGTCTTTAGAAGTAACTCCAGAGCTTGTTGCAGGCTTGGCCCTGTTGGCAATGATTCCTCGAGTGAATGCCCAGCCTGAGGGAGTGCCAGTGTCTGACAGTGCAGAGTGGCTGCGATGGGTTGTAGCGGTAGTGATCACTGGGGTGAGCCTTGCACTAGGTTGGTTCTTCTTTGGTGGGTTTCTGGAGAGCCTTGAGGGTGCCTGGAGTTCTGCGTTGGCAGAGCTTGCCGTTTTGGACGAAGCTGGGGTCGAGTTGTTCTTGACAGAAGCCGAGTTAGGCGAGCCAGTGAGGAGCCTGCAGGTAGGCTTCAGGAAGGAGGTTCAGGCTCAGAGGGGTCGTCTGACGAGTTTGCTGAACAAGAGTGGCGCGAGGCACAACGTAAACTAGCCGATACCGAAGGGAGAACGGGGTTGACTTTTGTTCAGAGGGCTCGTCTTAGGAGGCAGATTGCACTAGGAGGAGAAGTCGAGGTTCCGAACTTCTTGCAAAGGCAAGGACCCATCCCACCTTGGTTTTCGGGCTTGAGTCCTCGAGGGGCAGAGTCTGAAGTGACCGTTGTGCCCACTCCTTTCTTGGCTGGGTCTGCCTTGCTCAAGGCTTTGAGTGCTCAATCAGAGAGGCTGTGCCAGTTCTTGGGTATGCGCGTCAGAGTTTGGAAGGCGTTGAGGTGGGTTTCGCGAGCTTTTGGAAGGAGTGTTGTGATAGCAGTGCTTGAGCAGTGGTCCGATACTGGGGCTGAGAGCTCACCTCCTGGAGAACCTCAGTTTCATGGTGAATTCCGGTTTGATGGTTCCGTTTGGGTCCCGGTTAGCCTTGGGGTGTGGGAACCGAATGGTGCTGCCGACGAGCCGCACACGGGAAACGAAGACCAAGCTGATGTTCCATCGGAGTTTGCTTGCCAGGTTGGGGGGAGTTCTTTAGAGCCTCAGACGGGGAGAGATGACCAAGCTGATGTTCCCTCGGAGTTTGCTTGTCAGGTTGGGGGGAGTTCAGGGTCGTTTTCAGCATTTGATCAGTCCAGGGTCCAGGTTGGAGGCAGCTCAGGAAGTCAGGATCCTGTCCTCGTTGTGAGTCCGCAGGTTCAGATAGGAGGTAGCTCTGGGAGCCATGGGATGCAGTCCTCTGTCGATATGGACCTGTGTTATGAGGACTACAGTGATGAAGGAATGCTTACTGATCGGTTCCCGTACGTAGGGTCTTGGCTGAGTAGGCACTATCTTCTCCTGTTGGTTTCGCAGTTTGGGGACACGGTTCTTTGGAATCTAGGTGAAAGGTCTCGGGACTGGCTTTCGCTGAGGGCAGCTTCAGCCGGGTTGCGGTATGCGTTGGTCTTTGCGATAGTGGATGTACTGCGTCAGGGAAGAAATGCTCTTCTCTACAGCGGTCCCGAGTGGATGCAAGCAACGGAAGAGTTTCTTCTGAGGGGCCACCCTGCGGGGGCTGGCGCTTCTGGGGCTCTGGTAGAACCTCATCAAGCTCCGTCTAGCGTCGCAGTTTTTCCGTACGTGGAAGGTCCTCCTGGTATGGTTGCACACTATCTTTGGCGAGTGTTTATGCTGGTGGGGTGGTCTGTTTTGGATTTCTTGGGTGATAGGGTTCGCTCTTGGGGATTCTTTCGGGCTACAGCGGATGCGTTTCGTAGTTGCGCTACTTTAGCTGTGACTATTTGGTTGAGGAGGACGTATCAGCTGTACGTGGCTAATCCTCGAGCCACGTATGACGCCGCAGACGCGTATATTCAGAATGGAGCTGTAGGCTATCCCTTTGCAGCGTTAGAGGATCGAGACGACGACGAGGCTTTAGATGAATTGCCATTGGGTCCACCTAGGCCTGGAACTCCGGAGAGGTTTCCTTTTGCGTTGATGTTTGATGAGTTGCTAGGGGAATCGGAGGCCTCGTCTAGTGGAGATCAATCGACTGTGGAGCCTTCGGACGACTCTGTGATGTCGCGTGGGCCGGCCGAGGGAGAAACAGAGGGTGCAGGAGCTGAAGCCCCGCCTTCTCTGGAGTTGGTTCAAGCGCGTCCAGGGCTCTGGTATGAGGCTAGGGTCGGGGCTTTCCTTGTTCACTATGTAGACGATGAGTTCTTGGTGACTTTGGAGGGCTGGACTCAGGAAGCTATTGAGGGTGTAGTGCAGAGCTTGAACACTGGTGATTGGACTAGGTTCCAGGCAGGTCTAGAGGCTGGAGGCCTCGGTGGCTTGGCTCAGGGGAGCCTAGGGTCGACGGGATCGGCGGGATCGTCCCAGGGTTCTGTAGCCTCGGTAGGGACTAGTTGGCGAAGGGTTTTTGGTATGGTTGTGTTGATTTGGTGGATTTTGATTCAGAGCGCGGCAGCTTCTCGTGAGGTGGTCTTGTGGGATTCCCAGAAGTCTCCTGTCTGTAATAGTTTGGGAGTCTCGGGGACCTGTGAAGGAACGGAAGGAGGCTCTAGAGAAGGTTGCGGTGATAGCACACTAGCCTGGGTCCTTATCGGGTGCTTGATCATTGGAAGCTGGGAAGTGTTGCGAAGTTGCTTCCGTCGCTGTGTACGAACCTCGGACATGCGCAGTTCCGTAGGGAGCCAGACCGATGGGAGTTATGTTCCATTACCTCTTGAGTTAGGGGTTCCCCATCGTGGTCGAATTTTGTTCTGTTTATGGAGGTCTGGTTACCCTGTAGACGTAGAGGGCTATGATGAGGAAACCCAGTCGGATTTCCATTGGCTTGTAGGTGACTATCTGGTCCGTCAAGAGAATGCTGAGCCTTCGGAGTCTGATTGAGTTTCCTACTCATGGTCTGAATATGCGGAACGTAGTATACGGGTCCTGAGAGGACATGTAGCGCCTTGAAGAAAGACTGGGGGTTGGAAATCCGGGCGCCATCCGATATTTAGTGTGTCGGGCTTTTAGAACCGCTAGAATAACTAGGGTCTGTGGCCAAAGGATTGTCCTCCTCTGAGGTTAATTCCGTTTGAGGGATGCTGAGTTCTCGTCGAGAAGTGCCTTTTAAAAAGGACCGTGGTAGTAGAACCGCGGACTCGAAATCGAGATAGTTTGAATCAGCTTTTGTCCCGCAGTAGGACCGAGTGGTGCCATACAGACGGGGATGGGCCTGGAGTTGTTTTCCATTCACCTCTTATCGCTTCTCCTTTGGAGGGAGTAGCGAGGGGGAGTGCGTGAAGCCCAAAGGGACGCAGGTTAGAGACGCAGATGGGTGGCCCATTCTCAGGTACAGGACGGCACATGCTCGACCGAAGGCTGCTTTTGTTTTCTCGAAAAAGATTGCGAGTTCCCGAGGGTTTCAGTGCGTTGTCCCAACGGTTCTTGGCATCATTGCGATACTTGGTTTGCATTACACGTACTAAACCCTAAGCACTCTTTATAGTTTGTGTTAGTAAACAGCTTGCTTAAGCCTGATTGCTGAACCGGCTTTTCGACTTAGGATACACTGGGGTTCTTTGAGGTGTGATTGCTTGCGTTAAGTGTCCGTAGGGAGTTGCGACGAGTTCTGTGTACCTACTGTGATTCCTCTTTCAAGCCCTCGAACGTGCACTCTCAACAAATCCTCCGACAACTGAAAGGATTGCCACGAAGAACAAGTGATGGCAGACACTCTGAGATTGCAGCGAGCTCATCCATGCGCTCCAACAGCAGCACGCCCTTGGCAGGCTTCGTCTGATACCAGAAACTGGCACACGCCTTCATGAAGCATGTACCCTAAAGTACTTGGAGGTTCATGGGTAGTTATAAGTCCCCTAATAAGAGTTACAAGTATAGTTACCTTACTCATATCGCCAGTTATAAGTACCCAGCAACCTCCAAGTAGGAGGGACCCTTAAAGTGATTTAACATCTGCTGCTTACTTATCTTTGGTTAGTAGGGAATGGAAGAATGGTAGTAATAGTAATTGTAATTATGATTGTACCCCATTCCCCCCTGCCCTACTGACCAAAGGTAAGCTTAATCCAAGGGTAAAACGAGAGACCCTTAATAAGGACGCCTAGGTATATACCCTTAATATAGCTATTATATACCCCTTATATAGCCCCATTATATGCTCCGTTTCCCCTTTTGACTTAATCAAGGGAGCTCCCGAAGCGCTAAACTCCTAAACCCGCCAGAACTGGGTTATCAGAGTCTGTGGAAGTCTCCGAGAGCACCCGAAGCCTAAACTCCTGCATGTTTAGTGTTCCCATATCATTATGACCTCCTGCTGCAGATCATGGCAACGTAGTTTTTTGCTACAAATAAAACTCATCTTAGTTGAGCAGATTTCTGAACCTGTAAATGAGCCATAAACTTTAAACCCAAATCACACTACTACTGCTTACGACGACTACTACTACCTCAAAACCCAAATCACTCTTTCAGGAATCTTCAAAAGCAAGCTCAGCCTCCTCTCTCGTCATGCCGCGCGCCAAGGTTCCCTCGCCGGTCGCCTGTGAAGTGAGGCTTCGGGTTTGGTGGTTTAGGGTTTGGGGTTTAGGGTGCTTCGGAACACTGCTAGTAGAGGGGCCGTAACAATTAGAATCGGGTTTTGGGCTCCTGTAGGGTATAATATAATACGGTTTAGAGCAACATTGCTACTGCAGTTAGTCTGGCCCGCTAAACCGATGCCTCCAAGATGTTCACGAAACGTTTATATAAGACTACTGAGAACCCAGCGACAAGCAGGATCTTGGACCGGACGGTTTGTATGAGTCCGGGGCTTTGGGGTTTCGAGTTTAGCATTGGTCTCTATGCAACGCACAAATTTGCAACTGGCTTGACTAGCTAGAACCTGAACTTCACACGCATGAAGCTTGAAGGCCAATAAAGGGGCCTTATAAGAATTAGAATAAGGTTTTTGGAATAGGGTTTTTGGGTCCATTATACTACACAGATTAATAAGGAACCCCCAGAACAGTATTGGTAATTTTTGAGGCCCCTACATTAAACCCAAGCCCAAGGTCCCGAGCCCTAGGCCCAAAAAGCCAGAAACCCGAAACCTACAAGCCCTAAGCCCTCAAATTCTAAGCTGTTCTAAGCTGAAAGACCCAAACCGCAAGAGCCTCATACAACCCTTGCCGCCACTGCATCGAACCCTGTTGCAGCAACCCAGTTCCGAAACACAGAACTGCTGGGGATGTTGCCTCCAGACCTTGGCTGAAGGCCTCTTTCATCTCTGTCCTGTCCTGGTGGTTTCGGGTCTTCAGGGTATTGTTGGGTTTGGGTGTTGGGGAAGAAGTTTTATAGGCCAGTTGTGCAGGATGTTGTAGTGGCTTTGTAAGTTGGTTTTGCAAAAGGTCAGATTAAGGGGGAGGGTAGAAACAAGTACTAAACCAGTAACCCTAACTCCGCTAGATCGGAATACCACGTCAGTGTAGCTGGGCCTTATATACGACTTTACGTACCATTACAGTCAACCCTAAACTGCAAACCCGGAAACCTGAACCCTAAAGCCTAAACCCTCAACTCTCTTGCATAAGATATGGCATATATTACACGATATACAATATAATCTACAATACTTTGCATAATACTTTGCATATAGCCTTGAATCTAAGGCCTACAGCCATATTTCGCACAACCCATATTTCTTTTTGTGTTTAGGGTTTAGGGATTTGGCTAGATTCTCGGTTTTCTGTTTCATGTTTAGGTTTTTGCTTTGGGGCGAAGGGTTTGCTTTTTGGTTTAGGGTTTGGGGCTGAGGGTCTGGATCTAGGCAATTTGTCGGACGTCTTGGTCTTGCCGACTCTGCTGCCGACAGCCGCGATTGAAGAAGTGGGCCGTGGTTGTTTAATAGAACCTCTGAGCTCTCGTGGTGCGAACTCTCTGCACATCTTACGAACCTGGACAATGTAATATGATGGGTGTGCTCAAGTTACAGGCACGCGCTTGGAGGTTCATGGGTAGTTATAAGTGGGTTATAAGTAAGATAGCTACACTTATAACTCATAGCCCTTATTAATATTGCGGGACTTACAACCACTTATAACTACCCAAAATGACCTCCAATTGGGGTGTATATCACATCCCACTGCCTGGCGTCGGGGTTGGGATCCCTTATCTTCGGGAGCGCACAAGTCAAACCCTTCTTACAGTCTGCTTAAAATCAAACCCCAATCCCTTCCTTAGACCTATACCAGGGACTAGAGGGGGACCCTGTTACTAAACATTACCATAATCCATGAAAGGTATATACAAGGAAGGGGCATTACTAATCATAACTACTCTGTATTTTTCTATAAACGCACAGGCACCATAAAGGGAGCATTACGAGTCCTTTTTTCACACATAATCTCTGGGTCTCAAGTGCGCAGTCCTTCCAGCCGAGAGCCGTCCAGGTACCATCTGGACCTTGGCTTCCCCCACCCTAAGAAACCCTGGATTCAAGGTGTAGGGTTTTAAAGTATAGTTTGGGTTTAAGGTCTAGGCCTTTGGGTTGAAGGCTTAGGGTTTAGGATGGTGTTGCGAAAAGGACTTTGTCAAGGAGTGCAGCGTTGCAAAAACTGCTTCAAGGGCCCAAGGGCATTTCGGATAGATAGAAGTCCACATGCTTCTTCAACAATAGCACCCCGTTCAAGGCCTCCTAACAACTTAGAGTCTACTAGAAAATCTAAAAAACCCCTAACAAGCCAAAACCCCTGAACCTCTACACGTCGAAACGCCTAAACGCCTATACCCCTAAACCCCCCAACGCCTAAACCCCGCTGATCAGGTCAGACCAGCTGGGAAGGTTTAGAGGTTCGGTCTTAGGGTTTTGGGGGCGATCCCGGACTCCTAAACACACCTGCTGTTACTATAAACAAGTTGACTACTACTAGAATGGTTGCTTGATTACCACTAGACTAGAACTGTTTTTTGTTGCAACTGATACTACTAAAACTATTTTGCTTGTCAGCGCCCTTATCGATACTGAAATGACGACCAGCCCTATGATCATGATTATGACTGTTACTATCATTGTTACTGCTACAACTGTTGCAAGTAAGCCACCGATCTTCTACTCTGGGCTGAGTTCAGTACAAGGTACCTTTCTTGTCTTATGCGTGTGCACCAGACTGCAAGACATCACTTGCACGGCTGCATGGCTAAATCCTAAACCCCTAAACCCCAAACCCCTGAGTCCTAAACCCCCAAACCCCAAACCCTAAACCGTTGGGATCTGAAGCACTGCATGTAGCTGCAAAACCCAGTAGCTTCAACCCCGAAAGCCTCAAGCCCTGACCAAAGAATAGCCTACCCCTCTTACGATCCCTTGATAAGTGCTCTATGGTTGGTCAACCTGTCTGAACGCCAACCAAGCGCAACCTGTAGGCTCTAACACCGAACTAAACCCTACAACTCTAGACCCCTATCCCCCCAAACCCGAATTTCAGGCCCAAAACCCTCAAGCCCAAATCCCAAAACCGTCTTCGCCCTCAAAGCGGGAAGACCCGAAGACCCGTCGAACCCTGCGCAGACCCGGGCTGGCTTGCAAGAGCGCTTCGCCGGACTGAGCAGGGCGTAATGTACGGGCCTTCATAATGAGAAATAGGGTTCCTTTAAATAAAGGGGCTACTATAAGGGCGATTATAAGGATGTAGTGTAGGGGCCTTCATGATTAGAATAGGGTTTGGGGCTCCCTTGTGCTATAGCTATGATAAGGAACCCTAAGGAATCCCATTGGCAATATTTTAGGCTTCCATATTACGGCTTCACTCCCCACCAAAAGGAGACAACAACAGATCAATGATAGCAACGCTGGAGAAAACAACAACAGAAGGTCAGCGTGAGTACACAGAACAAGAATAACAATGGCTAGTTTTCATAGCACTAAACATGATTCCAATGATATAATAGTACTAGTAATCGCAGAAGAACCAGTGGTGGTACTTGTGAAGCATGATACGAGCCGTTGTGGGCAAACGAGCATCACCCATGACAGGGGCACTCATGTTCATGACCTTAATCATTATTGCTATCGTGCGCGATTGAATCCTCATCATCGCCCTCCTCGCCCTCATCAACTTCATCTTCTTCAAGAACATCACCACCACCATCATCATCATCAATATCATCATCATCCTCGTCATCATCTTCAACTGCCTAGACATGGATACAAATAAACTCGCATGGTTCAATGAGAGTAGCATGACACTGGTGGTATGAAGGCAGACTGCACTGGCGCCAAATACAAGACTAGCCATGTTGAGTTCAAGTACACCGAAGAAGGCCCCCTTTTCCCGGATTTCAGGCTTAAGCCCCCAATCCCCGCAACATTCGGGCGTGGGTCCGACAGGATATTATCACTAATTCTACTATTTGCTTAAGAACCCACCCAAAAAATAAAAAATATAATCCCTATATTATCCCTATAAGGAATACATTTTTCATTTTTTGGTGGTTCTTAAGCAAATAGTTGAATTGCTTGGAGCCCCAACTGCTGGTACTGGAGAGCCGAGCCCCGAGGCGAGCATCTAAAATCCTAAATTCTTAAACCCTCATACCATCCTGGCGAAAACCGCTTTAAGCCCTGGTATCCTTTAAACTCCCAAACCCCTTCTAGTATTGCCATTGCTTTTACTACTACTTAAATTATGTTTATTATGTTTGCTATTGTTATTACCATTTGAACCATTAATATGACAGTTACTGTGCGATGAGCCGTGCGAAGCCAGACAGGGCACCTCCAGAAGGTCGCCCCAAACCATATCAAAGGGAATGTCACCGGCCTCTCGCGTTGTGAACAGTTTAAGGGCTTAGCGGGTATGGGGTTTAGGGGCTGTGAAAACCACGGGTTCGTGATTTATACGGCCACTCACCTCCATAAATGCCCATAATGGGGGTTTATTGTATTATAGCAAACGGCCCCAAAGAACCCTAAAAGCCTAAACCCTGAGCCTGAAACTCCTGAACCCGAACCTTCGGACTCTCACCCTAAAGATGAAACCCATAGCCTAAACCCGGACCCTACGACCTAAACCCGACACCCGAACCCAAGAATCGCAACTCTAAGCTTGAAGCTCTATTGTACTGAGTAAGTACTACTCAATTACCTAGAGGCCCTTACTCCCCGAAAGCAGGAATATGCCTTAGATCATAGTGGGGTTCCGATTATAACCTAGTTTTAATAAAAGCTTCGATATTTCGGTTCCGGCCAAAGCCTCAGTCTTGGGGATTTAGGGTCAAGGGCCCAGGGTCCCTTTTAAGGGTTCCTTAAAGGGTTACTATAAGGGATACTATAAGGGTACTACTCTATAGGGGCATTAATAATTAGAATCGGGTTTGCGGGCCCATGTCAGCTATGATAAGGAACGCCCCAACATAGTATAGGTAACTATCAGGGCCCCTATATTCGGGTCAAGTGCCTAACGAGCCCAGAATTGAAATAATCATCGGTGTGTATCATAAGAGTGACGCTTTCTTCAGGGCATTCGAAAACCAGAATGGGACCTTAACTTAGGGAACCCTCCACCACCTGCACCGGCAAGTAGCTCTAAGACCCCCCCCCCCCCCGCGCGCCTGAACCATTGGCATCCTCACAATCCTGAGATGGGCGGCTCTACAGAGGCTAGGATGCCCAATAACCTCGGAATAAAAAGGCCTCCCTTTTTGGTATTGGGTAACTTTATAAGGGACCTAGGACTACAAAAAGGGAATAAGGGTACTTCTGGGCATCCTAGGAGGCTTTCAATGGGTATGCGCTAAGTTGTCAGTTACAACCTTCTTTTGGTACTTTGGGCAGCTGATGCTCCAAGCTCCGACATATGGCCTTCAAAGCTTCTATCCCCTACTGTAATATTTCGATGATTTTACGACTATATGGCTATAATGTTACTATACTTCTATTCTATCTTTAAACACTAAATGTCAAAAATGAACCCTGCACTGCTTGAAACAAGACCCGGGTTCCAATTGCACCGTCTGCTCCTGTCTGACGGGCGACCGCTGTTGCAGTGCAGTTCCGTCGCAACAACTACAGCTTCTGGGATCTCAAAAGGTCAGTTAGGCTTGCCGCCCCAGAATCCAAGAAGAGATTCCAAGGTCCGAATGGTGTGGAAGTAAAAAGCTCCAAGGTTGAGATTCGTAGAGTTGCACTAAAAAGAAGCCTTCATAATCAGAACGGGGTTGGAGGGGATATCAGGTTGCGAAGTTGCTCGAAGGAATGGTGTTAGAGGATACTTCGGCCCTTATACAATCGTCGCCACGGAAAGAGCCATTGTGTTTAAGACACAGCTTACAATCGCAATGGGCCACAAATGTCGCCGCAAGAGACCGTACAGTTTAGGGTTTAGGGTCACAATTATGAATAGTTCACCTCAAACCCCAGGAAAGCATCTCTGAGCGCAGCTCAGCTTGTGAACCTTTTCGGTGGGATCCGCCTCTCCAGCTTGCGGGGTTTAGGGTGGAACGCAAGGCAAGGCACCTTCACACATGTCAGCATGCCAGGTGTTTCCACATAGTGCGGCCAAGGGTAAAAGGAGGGACCCTTACTAAGGACCCCTAGGTATATACCCTTAATATAGCTACTATATACCCATTATTATATAGCCCATTATAGGGTAGGGGTCCCCATTAAGGGTCCCTCCTTTTCCCCTTTGATATTAGGTCTTGAAAGCTGCTCTGGGCTTCCGAGGTCCTGGAGCAAATCTCTGAGCTTGTCGACTTGTGGCTCCATGTTGTTTAGGTGTTAGGGTAAACCCCAAAAAGGTGGAATCCGGATTAAGGACAAATAGTGCCGGGATTCCCTGTGCATTGCTCCTAAGTCTTAAGGGTTGGGGCTATTGGGTTTCCAACTTTCAGGCTTCTACCGTAGCATGTCTATTTCCGTTTGGGTTGTAAGCGAAGCATTGCATAGAAGAACAAAGCATCCAGAAAGCATGCTCTGGACCCTGGCAGCTCTAACCCTAAACGATGACCCTAAACTTGCCCAAAACCTCACACCCCGAGAATCCTAAACTAAACGTAACATAACTTAACTAAACCGCCTCAGCCAACGAACCCTGAAGATAAGATCGCAAGCCTCAAGTGAAGCAACGTCCGAAATCCATGATCCTAAACTGGAAAGACACCGCTTGGGGTTTAAGGTTTAGGGTTCTACTAATCGGAGGTACCATCTTTCCGAGTTTTCAGTTTTAAAAATACCACTCACCCCCTTCCCTCAAAAGCAGAAACGCAAGGTGCAAAGTACCCTAAATCCGAAAGCCTTAAGTGTTCCGACCTGGAATCGCGAATAGATGTTTGAGGTTTAGCTTTGATGCTGAGTTCCTACTGAGTCATGCAGACCTCCCCCGAAGAACAGAGGCCAAGGGGTACCACTTAACCACCAGGAATGAGATGTCTGACTTTGGGAGTCTTTCCTGCACCCGGCCCAAGCTCAAGGCAGCACCGAAATTCAAAGTCGGATGGTTGATCAAGCTAGGTCGCACGTCAGAAGAACTTAGACTTGGAGCCTGTCCGACTTTCTTCGAATGCCCAGGGGTAAAGGGAGGGACCCTTAAGAAGGACCCCTAGGTATATACCCTTCATATAGCTATGATATCCCCATGATATAGCCCATCATAGGGTAGGGGTCCCCAATAAGGGTCCCTCCTTTTCCCCTTTGAGAAGGCTATCCCCGAAACCATTGCTCATAAACCCTATAGCCTCTTGCCTCCACGTGCCTACTTGAAGGCTCATGGGACTTAGTAAGCAAGGTTATAAGTAGGTTATAATTAGGGTAACCCCACTTCGGGGACTTATAGCCCCAATTATAACCTACTTGCTAAGTCCCATGATCCTTAAGTAGGGAAATGGCATGCCCCGGCCTGGCGCGCTGCATTGGTCTCGGTATCTTGGAGGCCTCGAAAGGCGGGCTGAAGGTATGGAGGATTAAGGATCCCTCACATAATGAGGACTCTCATTTGGGAGTTTCCGGAAATAGGGGACCCTAATATGGTACCCTAAATAGTAGGATCCTTATTAAATGGACCTCAAAACAAGGTACCCCCCCCCCATTTTTGGGAAGTCCCATTTGGGATTACCCCACCTGCCTTCATCCCACCGCTGGAGCCCTCTTATTATTATAGGATCCTTAAGGGGGGGTGGTTCAAGGGGGGAGGGTACAAGGAATCTGCAACATGTATCTTTCATGCTGGGTAACATGTGATTCTGCGTGTTGTGCAGTTGTCTCTTGATCGCCACGTTTGCTTGCAGCAAGGGGCCCCTTTCTTGAGGTTCGACTGACGTGAGCCATAGGCGTACGAGAAAAGGTTCGCAGCAGAGCCTTGTTACCTTCGAGCTCTTGGGAGCTTTGTTCAGCATCTTCCTATCATTGAGCCCAATCCTTTCGAGAGAGCTGTGCAGGTTCAGTTGCTTGAGAAACCAGTGCAGTGAGCGCCCTCCGCTACTGCACTGGTAGCGGAGCGAGGCTGGATCCAGAGGCACTTCTTCGCGATCTCCTCTTGGATCCTGATCTATCACGGCGAGCCCTGGAACTAGTGTCCTGACCTTTGTCTTCGAGGCTTCCAACTAGTGTTTGGGCGAGCGCCTGGCTTCTGGACACACGCTTGGCTGGCAAGGCCCGCGGCTTGTGCGGTTTTCGCATAGGCTTCTGACTTTGCCGGGTTTATCTGAGAGTGGTGTTCTGAGATGCCTTTTCGTGATGGAGCCAGTGATGGAGGAGGATCGTCCATACCCGCCTGGGATGGCCACCCGAAGGGGTGGAGGCGGTATGCGAGAGAGGTGGCCTGGTATGTGCAGGGAACCAAGCACAACCAACGCCGCTACCTGGCGACGCGCCTCATTGGGCGCCTGACTGGGAGTGCCCGCTTGCTGGCTATGTCCTGGCCGCAGAATGAGTTCGACAATGACCTCGGTGTTCTTATCTTCCTGCGGAAGCTGGCGCAGTCTCCTCTTGTGCGCCGGTCCTTGCCGAACGCGGCCGCGATCATGTCTCAGTACTTTCAGTTCAAGCGGCAGCCGGGAGAGAGCATCACGAACTTCCTTGTGCGGGAGACCTTGGGCTTTGAGGAGTTTAATGAAGCGCTGGTACGCTTGAGAGAAGAGAGGCAAGGCATTACGATGGATAAGCAGCTCTTCGGCCTGGAGACCCTCCTGAAGAAGGAGGAGGAGAAGGACGATTGGTGGACCGAAGGTCCGTCGAAACCTTGGTGGAAGCGTGGCTGGTATGATGGCGAGGAGGAAGACTATCACTCCGAGCAGGCTGGGGCGGAACCTTCTACCCAGGAGGCACCTCTTGGTGGCTATGAGCAGGAAGAGGCGGCCCACGCAGTGGGCAGCCCAAGTCGTGGACCACCGGAGGACCAGGGTGGTGAAGGCCAGACGCCACAGGAGGGCGGCTCACCGGCTTCGCGCCGTCTTGTTAGGGAGGTCGAGCGCTTCGCCCGTGGCATCCAGACGGACGATGATACCTTCGACAGCTTCATCTTGGACGTCCTTCGATTCTGGAGGCTTCTTCAGGCTGCTAGTCTTTCCTTGGAGGAGCGACGTGATGTGCTTTCTTCTACGGCCAATCGGCTCGACTTTGAGTCTGTGTCCAATGCTCTGCAGATTCTGTGGGACGAGCAGCTCTCGGGCGCCAGGCGCCAGAGCAACAATCCCAACTCCCATGGGAATCCTCAGGTCTACCACATGGAGGAGCAGGGCGGCTACGAGGCACAATGGGCCGAGCAGGGACAATGGGAAGAAGAAGACTGGTACGATGACCAGTGGGATCAGTGGCAGTACTTTGGCGAGGCCGAAGAACCGTGGCAAGGTGACTGGCCCCAGGGGCCACCGGAGCCGGATCCCGATGCCTTCACGGCCGCAGAGCTGGATGATGGGCAAGTGCGTGAAGCACTTCAGGCAGAAAGGGCGGCCGAAGTCATGGCGGCAGAGGCTGCGATGACCTGGAAAAGGGCCCAACAGGCCACAGCGGCTGTGAGAAAGGATCGTGGGTTTGGTGCGGCAGGAGCTTCAGCCTTTCGGGCCGCAATGAGCCTGATCAGTGCCACAAGTGCGGCTCCTATGGTCACTTTGCCCGCGACTGCAAAGGTCCTGGAAAGGGCCGGCCCAAGGGTGCAATGATGGCGGACTATGAGTACGAGCCGGCCGGCTATGATGCGATCTACTTTGTGGGTGGCAAGGGCAAGAAGAAAGGCAAATCGAAGAGCCACTTCGGCATGAACAAGGGACCGATCTTCAAGGGCAAGGGCGGCAAGCATCCCAAAACCTACCCGGGCGTGAATGCATATGGCTTGGAGATGCTTGGCTCTGAAGGGGCTACCGGGCAGAACTATCATGTGTCCACGGAGAGGGACGCTATTCCTCCTTCCTCCGGTCTTTTGGACTGTGGGGCAACAGCCTCTGCAGGTCCGGAGGCCAGTGTTCAGAGGCTCACTGCAGCAGTCATTGAGCAGGACTCCCAGGCGACGATCACCATCGATCAATCCCGTCGGCCATACTTTCGCTATGGGTCTGGGGCGTGGGGCAGGGCACAGTTTCATGTCACTTTGATGTCTCGTGTGAGTGGTCAGCAACTGCAGTTCGAGGTGTATGCCCTACCAAACCCGCCTGAGTTTGTGGAGCCCTGGTTTAGGCCACACATGTTGGTACCCATTTTGGTAGGTATGAGCCACATTGGAAGCGGTGGAGCTGGGATGATCATTGACTTTAATGACGGTTCCTACTTGAATGCAGCAGATATATCTAAGTTGCGACAGCGTCCTCCCGATGATCCTCAGTACCTGACCTCCAACTCCAAAGGCCACTTCGTGCTCGACATTGTCCAGTACCTCACTGGAGGCCAGGTCTGCAAGAAGGGGAATTGTGCTGTGGTGGTAAAGCAACCGGTGTCTCTTTCTGGTAGTGGTTCTCGTTCCGCAGATCATGTGCCGGTGCCGGGTACAGACGAGGATTTGCCCTTGCAGTTCATGTTTCCACTTGTGCTAGAGGAGAATGTGTTGACTTTGGCTGGTGCTGAGAACATGAATCCTGAGTTGCGGCGCACCTTCATGCAGCAGATGTTGAAGCGACACACTTGTAAAACCTCCTCGGCGGAAGCTTTCTCCAGCTCGAGGATGAGCGGGCAGACTAGACCCTCTCCTCAGATCGACAACTTCGCCCCCGCGATCAACCATGGCTCCCAAGACCAAGAGCAGCTCACTTCCGGTGCTCGACCCGTCGCGCATGGTAGAAGCGGATCCTCGAGATCCCCGTGCCTTGCGGACGCAGTGGCCATGTTACGGAAGCCATCCCGAGGTGGCGATCGGCAACAACAAGTTCGCCCAATGGAAGTCTTGCGCGGTTTGTTCGTACAGACTTTCCTACACGCCCAGAGAAGGCGCCCCCGGATCCGACTCCAAGACGGAAAACTTCCCCACGGTGAGGCGAGCGCTTTCCAAGCTGTACGAGGACATTGGGGATGTGCAGCCGGATGCCGAGATGGTGCGTGTGGCCATCGAGATGGAGTATGCAAAGAACCGCTACCACCAGTTGATCCAGAAGTTCGACAAGAAGCGAGCGGTGGCGACAGTGCCACCCAAGGCGGTGATCGAGGGCACGGCGCCTCTGGCTGCCACGACCCACAAGACCAAGGGCTACCTGGAGGAGAATGCGACCCCGCCGGAGCTTCTGAATCCGAATCTGGTGGAGATGGAGGACGGACCACCCGGGAGGCCATCACCGAGCTCGTCGATGACAAGTTGGTCGGTGACCGGGTCACCGGCGGCACAATGATGCCCAAGCGGGTGGCAAAGGGCATCATGCTCATGGCGACGGTGCTTACCAATCTCTACCGGAACGAGCTTCAGAACCTCATCACGCCAACCGGTCAGCATAGTGTTTGGGAGATTGGTTGCAGTACTTCGTCTATGTTGACCACCGCATGCCTTGCCGAGGGCCTGCAGTCTTTCAGGGTCAACCATGTGAACGGGCTAGATCTGTACAAGGCGGAGACCTACGACAACCTGAGGCAGTTGTTTGACTACCACAAGCCCCGCCGCATTTGGCTCACTCCTCGGAGCGATCGGTGGCAACCTTGGAGCCATCTCAACCACTTGACCTGGCAGGACCGCCAGACTTTGGAGAGCCGGCGGAGGCATGAAAGGACCATGCTGAAGCGCATGGTCGACTTCTTGATTTGGGCTCTACGGCGCAACTCCCTGTTGGAGATCTTCTGGGAATGGCCTGCTGAGAGCCTTGGTTGGAAGGAGCCGGTCATGCAACAACTTGAGAGAGCAGTCTGGTTGCGCAATCGGGATTGGCTTCAGTGTCGTGTTGATGGTTGCCGGTACGGCTTGCGACTTGACAACAACGGGCCCTTTGTGAAAAAGCGATGGACCATCAGGACGACGTGCCCCAAGTTCCACTCCCTCTTCAAGACTAAGGTCTGTGTCCAGGAGCACAAGCACATACCGGTGCCGGTGATGGAAAGCCACGGTCGCCTGGATTATCCTTGGCGGTTTGTGAGTTCTGTTGCCAAAGCTTGGAAGGATCATTTGTTCCCTTTGCGCCATTTTGGCGCCAAGAGCGTGCTCTACAACTTTGCCGGCGAGGAGGCAGAGGACAACTATGAGCCTGAGGATGAAGAGCCGGCAGCCGTGGACGAGGGTGCGAAGGATGGACCTACGGACGAGGAGCGCAAGGCCTGGGATCGAAAACTCCGTCGGTTCCACACGGCGGCCGGACATCCCTCCAACAGCCAGTTGTCTCGGATCATCAAGGAGGCCGGCAAACCCAAGTGGATGGTGGAGGCGGCAGCCAAGTTCAGCTGCCCACATTGCGAGTCGGCCGTTCCGGGAGGTATGTCATCCAAGCAGGTGCCCCCTTTGTCGACTAGGCCGATTCCAGTGGCTTGGCAACAGGTGGTTTCAGATGTGGGTGAGTGGACCAGCATACCACATAAGTGCAAGCTGAAGTTTGTTGTCTTTGTGGACGCGGCCACTAAACTTCGTGTGGCTGAGCCTTTGTTCCGGTGTGAGATTTCCGAGATGAAGACAGAGACTGGTTTGCAACTGGTGGAAGCTTTCTCCAAGCGCTGGTTGAGTGATAAGCCCAAGCCCGAGATCTTCATCCCGGACAATGCGAGATCTTACACGTAAAAACACTTTCAAGACTTCTGCTCGAGTGTGAACATTTGGTTGGCACCACCCACGGAAGCGGAGGCCTGGGCACATGGTTTGGCCGAGTCTGTCGTTCAGGATGTGAAGGCGGTGATAGAGCGCATTCAGACCGGCGACGCCAGTCTTCTGCCGGAGACCTGTTTGGCCTTAGCAACGGGTGCCCTCAATCAGACATCCTTTGTCAAGGGGTACTCGTCTTACCAATGGGCCTATGGAAAGCATTTCTCCTATACCGACGAAGATGAGATCACCATGTCCCAGGTGAGAGATGATGCACCCTTTGCCGAGTTCACCCGACTTCTATCCCTACGTCACGAGGCAGAGAACAAGGCCCGCGAGGTGCGAGCTCAACGTGTCCTCTCAAAACTCAAGAACACGATTCAACGACAACCTCTACGCACATTTCATCCTGTGGATCTTGTAAAGGTTTGGAGGCGTGCTCTACCACAAGAACTTCATCGAGGACGAGCTGGAGGCACTAAGAAAGCGGGACGTCATCACTGGATTGGTCCAGGACGTGTGGTACTGCAGGAGACAATCCCACATCAGGCGGAGGATGACCCACGCCGCCACATCATCTGGGTGGTCATTGGCGGCAAGCTCTACCGATGCTCGGCGCATTCAGTCCGTCCGGTGACGGAACAGGAACGAGCATGGCACCATCTTCAGGCGGACGAGGATCCCAGCCGCTGGAAGACTCTGAAAGACATCATCCCGACCAAGGAGTACACCGACTTGAGTGGACAACCTCCTCCTGGCGATCTTCCTGAAGACGGCGATCCTGATCTACCTCGAGCTCCTGATTCTGAGACCTGGGTGCCATCGAAGCGCCTCAAGTGGAAGCAAGCTCCACCTGATGCACAACTTCCTCAACCTGCGCCACCACCACCACCGGTCAATGACTACGGGGTCCCAGATGACTGTTTGGACTACGAGCCCAGCGAATGCGATGATGGGCCAGATGCTGGCCTCGGCACGGACTTCGGCAACTACGACTTCAGCTCGGACCCGGAGATGCCTGGCACTGGTGAGAAGCGTGACGCTCCACCGGGTGCGGAGTCTTCCTCAACAAAGAAGCCGAGAGCCAGCGAGACTGAGGATGAGCTGACGCTACACACGGCCCTTCAGGAGAGCGAGCATGCCTATGTGATGGAGTTTGACCTCAATCTGGCGTCACACCGCCAACTCAAGAAGTTCGTAAGGTCACCTTCAGCGTATCTGGTGGGGAAGATGCGCGATTGTGAAGTCCGTTGGGAGAAACTCTCACCCCACCATCGCACCTTGTTCTCCCGAGCGAAGACCAAGGAGGTGACCAGCTTCATCCAGCAGGCTGCGGTTCGAAAGTGTCTTGACTTGGCGGAGGAGAAGGAGGCCAGAGACAGCGGCAGGATAATGCGCTGCCGTTGGGTGCTCACCTGGAAGGCGATACCAGCAGAGGAGGAGCAGGAGGCCCGAGCAGATGCACGTGATAATCCACACACTACGGTGGACCCTCATGGCATGAAAAAGGCCAAGGCCCGGATCGTGCTGTTCGGATACCAGCATCCGGACTTGTTGAGAGAGGGGTTCAATTCCAGTGCCCCTGTGCAATCCGTTCTCACGAGGAACCTTGCCTACATGCTGACCGTGACCAACGGATGGCAGCTTGAGGGTTTGGACCTGTCAACAGCCTTCCTGCAAACAGCCCCTAAAGAAGACATGCGCATCTGGACACAAGGTGTGGCAGAGCTTCGTGAAGCTCTGGGCATTGGCGACGACCAGCTGATGCGCGTGCTAAAGGACTTCTATGGCTCGACTACGGCGCCTCGAGGTCTTTGGCAAGATCTACATGCCAAGTTCACGGAGCTCGGCGCTACAAAGATCATGTCCGACCCTTGCATGTGGATATGGTCGGAGCCAGTGGAGAATCCGAGGAACGCGATGGACCGCTACAGGACCATCGGCATGATGGGTGGCCACGTGGACGATTTCAATCGGGCCGGTGACCTTCAGAACCCCAAGTGGCTCGCCATCCGAGCCGAAATTGACAAGGCCTACAAGTGGGGCACGATCAAGAAGGATAACTACCGTCATGCCGGCACGGATGTGATCTCCAGAAGGTCACATGAGGGCGGCTACTCCATCGAGGTGAACCAGGATCAGTACATCGAGGGGATCCAGGACTTCGAGCTGGCGGCACAGTCTGGACGAGATCCTGAGAGTCCACTAGATGATCGAGAAGTGTCTGCATGTCGTGCAGCACTCGGGGCTCTACAGTGGGCAGCAGTGCAATCGCAGCCGCTGATTTGTGCCAGATGCAACCTCATCCTCTCGGATCTTTCACACGGACCCAAGTTCAGCTTAGCCCGTGAGATCCAAGGCTTGATTGTTGAGGTCCGTGCCAGCCCTCAAAGACTGATGTTCAGGCCGCTGCCAGATGTGAAGCACTGGCAAGATGTACATGTGATCACTCTCGGTGACCAGGCTCATGCGAACAGGCCCAAAGGGGGGTCTACAGGTGGCATTCTCACCTTCCTCGGTGGCCCGGCTCATGCGCGAGGTGAGCCATCACAGCTAGTTCTTCTGGGATGGAAAACTTGGAAGCTGCAGAGAGTCGCGATAGGCTCTACGGACGCTGAAGTGCAAGCCATGGTTGAAGCAGAGGACGTCAATTTCAAGACACGTTTGACGTGGGCGGAGCTCAACAGCGCTACCGTCGATAAGGGCTTCAACTTCTTAAAGGCTGCTGAGCGTGCAGCTTCTGCTGTTCCGGGAATCCTTGGAACCGATTCCAAGGGTGGCTATGATGCTGTGATGCGGCATGAAGGGCCTGATCTTGGGCTGTCGAATGCCAGAGCAGCCATACAGGGTCACCAACTCAAGGAAGGGATGAGACGAGTGAAGACACGTCTCATCTGGCTTGCCAGTGATTTCAATTTGTCAGACGCCTTGACCAAGCGATCCTCAGAATGCCGTAAAAGCTTTGTACAGTTCCTACGTAACGGTATTTGGATGCTTAGGTTCAATCCGAACTTCATTGTTTCGGCCAAGAAGGCCAAACAACAGGGCCTAGATGCTGTAAGTCAACTTCGCAAAGCAACACAGGCGTCAAGAGCCAAGAAAGTTT